TTTGTCATTTCCAGGAAAGCGATACTCCATACATCCGCATTGTTGGCGCTGATTGTACGCTAGGCAAGATTCTTTGCAAGCCTGACAAATAATCATGTATTTACACGTTGTTTAAAATAGAAATCAAAAGATTAACTAAATATGCCGCCAATAACTTGATACTAGATTTCAGTGAAGCCTTCAGTTAATAAGCTATCTCCAAATATAAGTTTCGTTGCTTACTTACAGTTTATAAATATGGGAGGAACATGTTGGAAACTGACCGTGGACTGGCTAGCATGCGCACCTGCCAACCTGGTGCATTGTTTGGCGAGAATGAACAAAAATCTGTCAAAATGAGCGCAAAGCCCGTGCGAAAGAGAGAAAGAAGGAGAAGAAGGAGAAAAAAAACACGGTTCCTTGTCTTTTTGTTCTCCTAGCGGCTTCGCTACTCATTTGCCCGCACGACAAACAAAACTGTAAGCGACACAGGCTACGGACCAGCCCGATGTTTTAGTAGCTTAGCTATGACGGGTAGAGGAAAGGGAATAGTTTGGCGTGTTTAAGACTGCAAAGGGCTCTGGAGGAAGGAGGGAGCGCCCTTCGAGTTTGCAAACGTCCCGTTTTATTTTATTACGGTTAACATGACTGAGTTAGTTATTTATTCATTTTTTACTTATTCATATTAACTAATTATATGGCTATTAATCAATAACATCATGACTACTGCGATTACAAATCAGTTTTACAAATAAACAGTCACAATATGTGCAGTCAGAAGTGATATTGGGGGTTTATCGTACCGTTGCGGAGTATACTGCCCCAAAGTGTTTTGTGTATAAGTTAGAGTCATCTCTGTAAACGTCTTTCAAACATCGCCTCCTCTCGAACGGATCCTCTCGGATGATTCTCTCCTAAAATAAATTAAAAAAGAAGGGCATGTCTATACACTACAACTCTTTACCATTGTATTACGCGGGCGTTCAAGTAAAAATGGTCGGGACCAAGAAACAAGATTATTCTCTTTTCTCGGGACATAAAAGGAACGAAATTACTGAGACTCTGTCAAACATTTCGCCTAATGTAAGGGAATCCAAGACAGATACTGGACTACATACCGTCATCTTTGTCAGTGGACCGTGGATCTTGGATTCCGGATTCCAATCGTTACTCGTTAGTGAGATTCCGGATACCTTGAG